TGTGTGTTCTGTAACGTTTGTAATGTGGGGTATTATAATTTAAAGCAGCATACAGTGTTCTATTATGAATATAGGTAATATGAATTGCTGCTTCAGCCCATAATATAAACAGTAATTCAGTAGATGTTAGATATGCTCTTACACCTCTAAATATAGTTTTATGAGTTTGTTCCACTATTCTGTTCTGTTGCAGAGTATGATGTACTGTTAATCTTTGTTTTGTTCCTTGTGAATCTAAATATTGTTGGAAATCTTCACTAAGGAATACAGTATTGTTATCACTTTGTAAAAGCTTTATTTTAACTCTGTACTGTGTAAATATTTTAGTTGTCTATTGTACATATTGTGTATATGTATCAGATTTTGTTTGTAATTTGAGCATTATGCACCAATGAGTAGAATTGTCTACAATTGTTAATAAGTAGTGTATGTTCTTATATGTGTACAGTTCAATAGGACCAATGATATCAATATGAATAAGATCTCCAAATTGATTTGCAAGAGGAGATTGATGTAGTTTTGGTATTAGTGTATGTTCAATATTTGCTTTTATACATTCAATACATTCTTTTTCTTCATAGTTTGTTATTTTAGTTGATAGTACACTTGGTTGTGTCTTTAATAATCGTTTAATATAATTGTAACTTATATGTCCAAGGCATTTATGTATATCATAAATAGATAGTTTGTTCATTGTTTTTAATAAATGATTATTGTACAAGATATACAAGTTATTTCTCAATTGTATATGTCTAATGTATTTGTTACATAGTAATGTTATAGTACAATTATTGTTTGTAAACATAAAAGAATAACCTTCCCTACATAGTAGCACTTGACTTATGAGGGAAAAGGTCATTTGTGGATAGTAATAGATGTTTTGTAATGTTATGACACTTTTTTCTTGTATATTCTTTGGGATTTCGATACACATAGATCCAGCTCAATTAAGAGTCATTGTTGACCTATTTGCAATAGTTACAATTGTAGGAGTTATGTTGTGTACATCTGTTAATCGAAATAGATAAGGAGTAGCATGTATTAATGCACCAGAATCAAGTAAATCCATTGTTTGCATATAGGATTTCTCATTAGTTATGATTGTATTTGTAAATACATTGGTACATACCCAGGAGACATATTGTTCGAATTGTTTGTCCTGGTTGCTCAGAATAAGAGTGTAGGCATTATTGTTCATTTCAATGTTGCCTTCCTTTAATTCAACATTGTTTTCGTTTGGGTTTTCAATAATAAATGTGTTTGTCATGTTTTCTACAGTTTGATTTGTTTTATACACAATGTTAGCCTGATGTTTAGTGCATGCAAGCTTTGTAGCTTTAGTAGGAGGTTTGCAGCATTCCTTAGAGAAATGTCCTGTTTTTCCACAATTGAAACATTTTGCTTTTGTCAGATTGAACAGATTTGACAGATTGAATTTCCTCCACTTATTGGCTTTATACATTGTATTAATGTGTGCATTATTCTTTGTCTGATCATTGGAATCTTGTGCTCGTTTAGCACAGTAATTGTTGTAAGCATTCTGTAATACAAGGATTAGTTGCTTCAGTTCAACTTTCTTATGTTCATTGACTGGTTTGCCTTTGTTCTGAGCATCAGTAGATTGTATTATTGTATTTACTATGTGTGTATATTGCTCAGGAGTGGCAAGCAATATCACTGCTTTGTATGTAGAGTCATGTGGTGGATTACCATTAGCAGACAGAGTTGTGTATGCTTCCTCAAGTCTGTCTAATGTATGTCTGAAATGTTTTACATGGTCTCTACAAATAAACAGTACCAATTTGTCAATAGCCTTTTTACATGCTGTCTGGGGGTTAAAGCATTCTTCAAGCACTTTCATTAACTGAGGGATAGACATATTGAAGTGCATATAGTTTGCCAATATTGTGTTGGCAATGTTATTAACTATGCATGCATGAATGGCCTTAGCTATCTCCCTCTCAGCTTTGTTCTGCAGTTCATCCTTTAGTAAGTGTTTGAAGCACATAGCTGCAACACTAGAAACAATGCAGTAGTGCCACATCTTGTAGTTTGCTTCAGTCTTAAGCATTGTAATGTTTTGACCAAAGTATTTAGGTACATTGGCTGGTTTACAGCATGTATCTGTATGTGGGGGAACCATGATGCAAATGTGTGCAAATGTATGCAAGTAAAGAGTTTAGAGTGTACAGTGGATGCGTGTATGCAGGGAGCTCAAGGCTCATAACCTGTTGAGAGGGAGAACTTAAGGGGGGCACACATAGACAAGGGGTGAGGTGACAATTTACTGCTCAGTGTCTCTCGTCCTTATATTGTATGTATTCTAACTGAGACATTATGAAGTCATTGTCTCATGGTTCGTCCATTGATGAACTAATCATCTCATAATAAAAGGACTGCCTTTTCTTTCAAGAATATACAGCCTAAGGGTTTACCTCTGTGCTTCACACATAGAACCAAATTGTCTAAATTTGTCTGACTGTAGGGAAATGTCCCATAGTGAGCTGAGCTCTGAAGCGTGAACTCAGCTCTTCAAGTATCGAGATATAGGGTAAATTGTGAGCTTCCAGCATAAGTATTTACATTTACATACCTATGCTATAATGGGATGGCTCGAGCAACTTGACCATCAACGGCCGAACCGACTTTGTGCAATACATAGCTCCAGAAACTCTCGAATAGTCCTTGCTCTCTTCTGCAACGTCGTACCCTCATCAGCACCCAATGTCCACCTGTCCTCAGTTGCTTACATTTAGCAGAAATATCAAATATCCACTATCATGACAGCTAGTTTCCCAGACGAATGAGAGATTCTAGCATTAGCTGACCTGCAGACTGGTCTTGTCCATGTATTCTCCATTGCTGCTTCTCGCAAAGAGATGTCCTTCTCATTGCACCAAACACAGTCCTGATTGGAGCTGCTTGTCGTCCCAATCACTTTCCCTTCAAGGCCTCTCTCAATGTTGTTTGAATTTGTATTGAAAGGAAGATTAAACCTTGTGAATGTGAAACTATGTGTTAAAGCTTGAATACACATCAACTGTAAATCACGAACGCACTGACAATTCGCCAGAATTGTGTTAGAAAGAAGTCAGAATGGATGTGGATGAGGAATATTTGCAGACACAAATTGTTGCTTAGACCGATCCTCGACATCTGTGCTAAGGATAATATTAATGGTGAGTCCTAGTATATGCGACTTGCTCGATATGGCTACTATTTCTGTTTCTAATTACATATTTCCTAATTGAGTAGTAGTATTAAAACCTTCCAACCACCGCTCGCCCCAGTCTTGCCTTGTAATTATTTGACTGAGGTGGGTATTCAGTACTACAACAAATTCATACAGGATAGGATGGATCACTTTCAAGTTGCATCTGAGATTGGCCTGAAAATAATTCAGATAAATCCAGCTTAAACCTGATCCAATATGATTCTAGATTGAAAGCAACTTTGCACAGAAGTAGTACATTGCTAAAAATTTTGTTCAATGAATAACTAAAATCCCATTTAGTTTGTGTAAGTACTAGTGGGAAACAGTATAGTTGTTTTACAGTATTCTTAACAAATCAAATTAGAGAGTCTTTTTGTCTCTCAGAGTTGTCATTCTTCCATTTTGGTGCCTAAGAAACTAAACCTTTAGTATTCTGTTTAATATTTTTTGCATATGTGCAGAATCAATAATCGTATATGTGAAGTGAGGCTTATGTAGAGGTCTGAGTGTAACTTGGACACACACAAAAACTAGAATAACTATAAATCAATACCATCAGTTCACATGTACGTAATTCACACATGCAAAGTCAACTAATTCATGTGTCACGCAACAATGATCATCAAACGTTACCATTACAGCAGGCTGATTAGACTGATAACGTGAGGATTCCAACGTACTGTGGTAAAATGCGAAATGAATCTGATGAATGTATCAGTCGTTCCCATCCTAGTTTGCCATTTTCTGAATCTGCAACTGTATAAATTCAGCCCATGGGGGGCATTACCATCTAACTCTGATAACTCAAGCACTACTGTCCTAACACTCTCGTATTCTCACAAGCAAAACTAGAATGGCGAGCAACAATTATTTGCAGCCTCCTACTCGTGATGATGACGAAGATCTAACTGACGTTGAAACTCAACGGAAGAAGGAAGAGGCCAGAGACAGAAGAGATCGAGACTCTAAATCAGAAAAAAGACGGTTTGAACGACAAGGCTCCAAGGACGATTCAAGTCCTCCACCCCCGCTGAGCGATGGCAAGAAACATCCATCATGGGGTATAAATGAATTGAACCAATAGGAGGTTCAAACCCCAGCGGAGTCTGGTGATGAAAGCCGAAAGAAGTAAAGCTATTCTAGGAGTTATGATCTTCAGATCTACGTATGCAGCGTGTCGTATAATATAATTCAATAAAGGAATGCCTTCTTTCAAAAATGTGCGGGAAAGGGGGATATCTCTGTTTCTTCATGCGCAAAACTAAATTTCAATCATTGTCTGCCGGAGGTGACCCATAGTGAGCTCTATAGCATGAATTTGGTTCTTTGAGTATTGAGACACATAGAATATATTATGAGCTTCTAGCATAAGTATTTGCCTTCACATTTATGTACCTACGCTATAATGGGATGCTTCGAGCAACTCGATTATCAACTGCCGAACCGACTTTGCGCGATACATGGCTCCAGAAACTCTCGAATAGTCCTCGCTCTCTACCACGACGCCACATCCCCATCAGTATCCATTGTTCGCCTGTCCTCAGTTGCTTATGTTTAGCAGAAATATCCACTATCATGACCACCGGTTTTCCAGACGATTGAGATATTCTCGAATTAGCTGACCTGCGAGCTGCTCTTGTCCATGTGTTCTCCGTCGCCGATATACGCAAATATATGCTCTCCTTATTGCAACGAACTCTGTCCTGATCGGAGCTACTGGTCGGCTCTTCTGCATGATCGTCCGGGTCACTTACAACAGTGACACCGCTGAGCGCCATGAGTACATTCGTCAAATCTTCTTGAAGCTCTGCAACATCCACAGACCCAGAATTGCGCAGCACTTGCTCGCAGTTGTTGCGAGGCGGGAGTAAAGCGTGATGAGGGGATGGCAGGTTACGAGCGAGATTCTTCAAGGAAATGATAAGGAGTTCATAGTCTTTACGACATTCATGTACCGGAACTCACGTCAGGTAAACGCAAATCCGTAAAGGACCAAGCGACAACCCATCGTCGGGTCTGTCCCTGTACCAGTTCCGTGAGCGCATAGTTGTCAACGTCATGCGCTCGTAGAACGTTGCGGATTTTCTCGACTGACGAGAACTTTCCAAGCATAGAAGTGAACCATCTGCAAGCCCGCGATAGTATTAGTTTCCATTGAATGAATGGGAGGATTGTAGACGTGGACATACAAGCAACGGTTCCTGATGTTTGTACCGGCGCTCTCCTCAACCATACGTTGGACGAACGTTTCTTCCCCGCCAGGTGTTACCATCTCCACTTCAGAGCCAGTACAAACTGAGTTTGGTTCAAGCGCTTTTCCTTCGGCGCTTCTCTCGACATCATTTGTATCCGCATAGAAAGGAGGATTACACATCGTGAAGGTGAAACTGTATACCAAGGAGGTGAGTGTACCTCAATAATATAAATCTCAAACGTTCTCACCATTCGTCAGGATAATCATAGAAAGGAGTCAGGATTGGTGTGGGCGAAGAAAGTTTGCAAATCCGAATCCAGTTGCCTAGACCGTTTTTCTCGACATTCGCGATAGCGGATTCATGCGAAACAGGATCGATCTCTAGAGTAGGATCTGAGATTATCCTAATCATAATAAAAGATATAGAGCCCAAACCAGTCCCAATGAATTTCCAGGTTGGATCAACTTTGCATCCGAGAAGTGGATATATTGCCGATGCACCAGTTCCTCTTGACCAACATTACTTCTCAGACACACCTTAACAATTGTGAAGCACTTACATGTCTATTCCAATGACTTCAGGGCGTTTCTCAAAGGCGTGGAAGCTTTCCGAAATAATGTCCTGCAGCCATAGAATGTAGTTTAGTCTGATCTAATCAGTTTGTTCTCAGGCTTCTTATCTAGGAGTTGGACAGACCTATTTGGAACTGGTGGACAGAGTCTACCTTCCGGTAATGAGAATTTGACCTGGAAGTCGCGCCAGAGTAGTGCTTCCGTCAGGCATCTAGAATGGTCGTTTTCCAACGATCTCAAAATATTGATGTGAATCTCGCGCACCTCTGGGCTTCGACGTTCTTGAAGTCAATTGTCGAGACGTCTGCTCCGGAAGGCTTTAATAAACTTCAAGGATAATCAGAAAAGGAAGGATCGCTATTCCAGGTTACAAGCGTACAATGGTTTTAGTTTCGGATAAATTTTAGCTAACGATACGAAATCAATGGGTGTTTTGTATGGATTTCGGTCATGCATGTTGACAGCCACGGAAAAAATGAAAGAATCCACCCGAAAAATCGGACGAAATGAAAATCACATTGGGTAAACATCTCACGTGACACCACACAACTGACGTCAAGGCGCGAAACCGTTGACGAAAACCCGGTTCGCGAGTCGGAATCTTGTTGCATCTCTTGTGTTTGGACCACTACCACATTTCGCCATGTTCACAAACGTTGCTCGTACTGTAATGCGCCCCGCCTCTTCGCGCTTGTTTGCGGCGGCTGCAGCTGCAAATTCGCTGCGAAGCGTTCACACACTCCCTCCCTTACCATATGAATACGATGCACTCGAACCGCACATCTCGAAGGAGATTATGACATTGCATCACACCAAGCACCACCAGACCTATGTAAATGGTCTCAATGCAGCAGAAGAGGCATACGCCAAGTCCAAGTCGACGCAGGAGAAGATTGCCCTTCAGGCAGCTCTCAAGTTCAACGGCGGTGGTAAGTGCTGTTCTAGATATTCGGGAACTATTGTAAAGCTGTTCTACTCATAGGGCATATCAACCATTCACTCTTCTGGACGAATCTTGCTCCGGCATCGGGAGATGGTGGAAAACTGAGTGACGGTCCGCTAAAGCAAGCTCTCGAACGTGACTTCGGCTCTGTCGAGAACTTCAAAAAAGAAATGAATGCTAAGACTGCAGCTATTCAAGGGAGTGGATGGGGTTGGTTGGGCTACAACAAAGCAACCAATAAGTTGGAGATAGTAACAACACCAAACCAGGACCCTCTTCTCTGTAGGTCTTCTCTACTAATGCGTCATACTTAGTGAAAAACAATCTTATGCATTCGCGCTGTAGCACATCTTCCGATTATTGGCATCGACATCTGGGAGCATGCTTTCTATCTTCAGTACAAGAATGTGAAACCTGACGTGAGTGTAGCCTATTGTAGTATTACGACCCCGTTCTCATCGATCCCCTCCCTACTAGTACCTCAACGCAATCTGGAACGTCATAAACTTCAAGGAAGCAGAGAAGCGGTTCATTGACGGCTCGAAGTGAACAGGGACCTGTGGGGCAGAAGAGACAACCTTGCAAGCCGTAATGTAATTACAACATGACTTCATATTAGTAATGTTGATTACATACCAAATACTTGTTTGAACGTCTAACGGTCGCTTGAGTTGCTCGCCAGATTTGCTTATTCCCACACTGGATAAGTGCGATCAAGTAAGAAGGAAACCTACTTCAACACCGCTGAGCTAGGGTTGACCAATCAATAATGTGGCACAAGTGCCATGCCTGACGCGTCGTTTCGGCGAGCTTGTCCAGGGCAGTGTTTACTCGAATGATGCGAGCCTTGCCTCGGCAAGGATCGACACATACTCAGCATGACAAGTAATGCTTTACCTCTTCACACGTTTGGTGGAGCGTTGAAGCCGAGAATACTGCCTTGATTCATAAACGACTCCTTGTTGGATCGGTGCCGCGCACATTCTGTCTTGCGAATGCATGCCGAATGCTGTAGCGATCACATCACTGAAACAATTGGGTGCATACATACCTCGTGAGAATTACACTTTCTTAAGTGGATAAAAGGCCCATAGCATCGTAAGCTACTTGACACCCACAATTTCTTTAAACTTTGTACATCCTCTGAGAATGCCTTCCTACGTCGTAACTGGTGCATCGAGAGGTATTGGGGTGAGTTTTCTTCTACTTGATGTGAGAATCTGGTTTGTTCACACAATCTCCATGTAGGTGGGTTGGGTGTGGAAGTTATGCGCAGACGCGAACAACAAGGTGTTCGCCGTAGTGCGCAACCCGGAGACAGCAACTCAGCTCCAGGCGTTTCTGAAATCCGATGAGAACAAGAACAAGAATGTCGTCGTAATTAAAGCTGACTTGACAGATTATAAGACAATTAAGGTGTGTGTAATTCAAGTCTCTCGACTGCCTAAAATCTGTTTCTGACTTGCAAAACATCCGGCAGGCGGCGGCAGAGGAAGTGTCGAAAGCCACTGGAGGAACATTGGATCATCTCATCAACAATGGTGCCCTTATGCATCACGAGCGGGCAATGCTGACTATTGATGCCTAGTACGTCCTGCCATCGTCGAGTTTAAACCACAGACTCATCTCATGTATTTTTTTTTCTGTCAGCCCGGATGAAGAGACACTTGAGAATGACTTTTTGGCCTTCGTGAGTCTCCTTTCTTTGCGTTACATAATTGACGATCTAACGACCTGGATGATGAACACAGTTCAAGACTAACGTTATTGGCGTCACACATACGATAAACGCTTTCATCCCTCTACTCCGCGCAGGAAATACGAAGAAAGTATTGGTGGTCTCCTCATCCATGGGGTCTACTCGATTCAACATGGATGCGAACTACGAGAACATCGTGCCCTATTCAATCTCGAAGGCTGCCTTGAACATGGCTGTTGTCAAATTTGCCACGAGGTACAAGAAGGAGGGATTCACTATCGTGGCTGTCACGCCTGGGCTTGTGAAGACCATCCCTGGCTTAAGTGAGCTTAATTATAGTATATTGTGAATCATTGCTAAGATTTTGATGACCTTTTTTAATTACTTCCAGCTCCAGAGGAACTCGAGAAAGTCTTCGAGAAAATCGTTGCGCAAATTCGCATCGCTAGTCCGAAGTTCGCTGGAGCTATAACTGTTGAACAGTCCGTCAATGACCAACTAGCGTTGTTGGAGAGGATAACGCCTGCGGATTCTGGTTCTTTCGTCCATGCAGATGGTAGCGACGCAAACTTCCTTCACCAGTAGGCCACCTAAATGGTTGTAAGAACGTCGATTTGATAAGGTCAATACACACGAATGAATGAATCTACTTGCAATGCTTATCCGTAATTATAGCGAGAGATCAACCGGGTGCGACCTCGAGAATAATTTGATTTTCCGTTGAAGAACCCGAAGAAATCGGCTCCTAGATTCTCGATCATATTCTGCGCATTGTCTAATTATATAAACTTGGCTCAGGACTAGTGTGGTTGGTGTTGTTCGCGCAATCAATGCTTCCCGCTCTTGCAACCAGATGAAACTGTTAGCGGAATCTTTGTCAATAGGATCTAATTGTATTAACTAAGAAGTGGACTACCATTCGAACGTAGTGCATTTGAACTCGAATGTGGCGGTCGTCAGTTCGCTGCAGAGTTTGTTAGAAAATGACCCACTGGCCTAGGATTTACAAAGGTATGGACACAACAAAACGTCTATACTGATATGGGCCAGTAACCTCAGGTCGTTCCTGTAAGAGCAAGGGTCGTACATCCGCGAAATACTGCTCAAATAAAGCAGACGATTATTTCCAATTCCAAATCGGCCGTTGTACGCGGCGGCCGAATTAAAAGCATGAGGTTGATGAGGTGTAATCCATTTTGGTCGGAAGTAAACTGGATGAGGTCTGCACCATACATTTTATGGAATTTATGGCCATCCCGTCCAATTTAAGCAATTAACGGTCCTCTAACCGCTGGTGCTCTCCATGAAAAGGCAAAGAAGCGTCTCACAACCGTTTTCCGCGGAGAAACATACGGAAATATCTGCAGATTAGCATGTCTACCGGCGTCTCCGCAGCAATATGCATGTGACCATTAAATGGAGTCATGTTTTCTGGTGCTGCGCTCTCAATCTGCAAATTCTGGTCATATTTAAAGTCGGAAGAGGTCATGGTATAAAAGAACCAAAATGCTGAGCACGTCGACTTTCGAGCTTCAAAGCTTTATCGTCCTCTAGTTAACCCTTCATCCTTACACTCGGTTTAACATCATGGTCTTCAAAATCTATGTTTCAGGTGCTTTTCTTGCTTTTGTGACAGGAGCATCCGCTAGAACTTTCACGGTGAAGAATAATTGCTCCTTCACCGTGTGGTGGGTACCGTATTTTCTTTACCAAATAAAGCGCTTCGCCGACTTCACTACTAATGTAGGCCAGCTGTGAGTAGCATGAAATTTGCGTCTCGATGATGTCGATTATTTGTTAATCACTGCAGATTTTCACGGATCTAAACGTCGGTAAAGCCGTTCCGGATCAGCCAACAGGGTAGGCTTCGGTTCTTCTGCTCGCTCGTGATAATTGCTGAAACCGAGTCGATCACAGCTGGGAGGCTGCGTCTGAAACGTCCGTAAGCTTCACTGTTCCGGACAATTGGAAGGCTGGCCGTATTTGGGGTCGTCGCGAATGCGATTTCAGCACCGTTCAGGGCCCAACCTCGTGTGTAACTGGTGGATGCAATGGAGGTCTCTTATGCAACAACTCGACTGGAACTGTATGCATTTCCCTTTGCCCCTAGGTTTGTACGATAACGAAGGCTTGTTTAGGGAGTACCGCCCGTAACACTCGCTGAGTGGACTCTCCAAGGTGATGGGAACCAAGACTTTTATGATGGTAGGAGGATGCTTCTTTACATAAGCCAGCTTTAATAATGTCTTGATTTTCGTAGTCTCGTTGGTTGATGGCTTCAACGTGCCTTTGAGCGTCACAAACAACGTTGGTTGCCCAACAGCGGACTGCCCCACTGATTTGAATGCCAATTGTTCGTGTTAGCATCACTGGTTGTTGTCTTGCTGCTGATACGATGATGAATAACTAACATAGGTCCGAGTGTACTGCAATTGAACGACACATCGGGAGCCGTCGCTGGATGCAAGACTGCTTGTCTTGCAAACCTTGATGGGGATCAAAGTGCGGCGCCTTTTCATAATGAACTTTTGCTGTCCATTGATCTCTCGTGGTAGCTGACTCTGCAAACTGTTGCTCTGGCTCGCACGACACGGCCGCAACTTGCCCTAGTTCCGGCGTACAGTTCTATACTTACTTCAAGGATGGATGCCCTAACGCGTATGCTTATGCTTACGATGAGAGCAGCGGCACTGCGCTTTGGACTTGCAACTCGACTCTGGCGGCTGATTATACTGTTACGTTCTGCCCTTGAGGAGCAATGCGGGCGTGTTTATCCGATTAAATGATTGTAAGACTTCTAGATATCAGTAAATTTGATATACACAAGTGAGTGATTACGCATGCGATGCTTACCAGGGATTTTTGGGGGGAGGGGGGGTGAATTGATGCAACTTTTTTTTCTTGAAAGAAGCCTGAGAACTCGATCTCCTACTGAACCTGTGTGCTCTAGTGAAACGCTGAGGTAGGTTGAGAGTAAACATGCTTCTTATCTCGATTTTTTCACACCCTCTCGTTACACGGATGTGATAGTATTTAGTATTAATATTACTAACGATCCGTTGTTTCTGGCTCCTCAGGAAATGTGCTGAAACAGCTTTTCAGCTTTTGCTGCATCTAACCCTGTCAGCCACAAAAACTTCGCAACCACAAGGATCTTGCAATGGTAAATGTCCTTTTTCGAGCCCAGATGCTCTGTACTCAGCACATTGCCAAAGTCATCAGGTGTAAGACTTACATGAAGAGTGCACACCTATGTTGGGGTACACAGCATTGAGCAGTGACTCAAGTTAACGTTGATTCAGCAATGTACGATCATGTGATCTGCTAATGCTGTCATTCATAAGGCACGTGTGAGCATTTCAAATTTCTCCTTGCCTTGCACGCATCAATTGTAAAACGAATCCTGGACGTGAGTAAGCCTTATCATTTATTAAAGCAGCAAATCTGATTAGTCTGGAGCCCATCATCACTCCACCTGTGCCAGAGTAGGAACTTTGGCCGACGGCACGAAAGTGACGCGTCGTTTCTTACAGCGTTTCCGGAAAACTATGAGAGTCGCGTTGTTTTTTTTTCCACCTTGCCACCTGCCAAATGAGGCAGGTGACTTCAACCACCTTTTTGTTTAGACACATACAAAACCTCTGTACTGTTTTTCCACTTAATATACACCTTTTTATACATTAAAACATATGTTGAACCTTTTCAATTACAATTCCCCTCTATAATATTGACAGAATTACCTCTTTTTTGTTGTTACATGTTTGAATGATTGTACCACTCTTGTTAAGAAGCTAGCATCCTCTAAGACAGTCCTGTTAACCTAATATATTTGCTATTTTAGTCTTATGATACTAGGGAGTGTCTGAAAACTCGTATGAAGGCAACTACAGTACTTTATTGTTGTATGGCAAGCTATGTGTATGTTGCATGGCAAGTCACCTGCCAAATAAGGCAGGTGGCAAGGGGAAAAAAAAGAACGACGCGACTCTCATAGTTTTCCGGAAACGCTGTAGTATGTTCCAGGCTTGTTTACATCAAGAGTCTTCCTTTTTTTCGCAAATATTAGTCGACCGAATGCGCGGCACGAACGCTGACGCGTCGTTTCTGCACAACGTTTGTGCCAAGAATATCTCACCAATACGTGAGATGAACTTCCATATGGGTCAGCGTCGCGTGCACATTGTTTCACGGATTCCGAAGTTTAAGACAAAGTGTCGTTGAATAACTGGGCATATATATCGTGAGGAATGCACTGTCTTGCAGCGTATTAAAGACCTGCCACATCGTAGCCGCTAGGAACCAGCAACTCTTTACAGATCATCTTCTGAAATGGTTTCATACGTTGTGACTGGCGCGTCGAGGGGCATTGGAGTAAGTCCTCTTCTCTAGGCAAGAAATTGGCGTGCTTACTTATACGATGTTATATAGCTGGGCTTCGTGCGGAGGTTGAGTGCAGACACGAACAACAAGGTGTTCGCGCTCGTGCGCAGTCCCGAGACAGCAACACAACTCCAGGAATTCGTCAGTTCTATCGACAACAAAAACAAGAATGTTGTCGTACTAAAAGCTGACCTAACAGACTACAAGACAATTAAGGTGCGAACGCCTCAAATTCCCGCTATCCAATGTTCATCTCTGACCTGTAACTCTTTGATGTTGACAGTCAGCGGCCGAGGAAGTGTCGAAAGTTACTGGTGGCACGTTGGATGTGCTCATTAACAACGGTGCCCTACTCCATCACAAACGGAATGGGCTAACTGTAGATGCATTGTAAGTGCTGTTCTGCGAATACCGAGTTTATCGTCACAGATGTCGTTCCTCATCGAAGTTTTCTTTCAGTCCTGACGAAGAGGCACTTGAGAATGACTTTTTGATTTTCGTGAGTCGCTTTGTCTTTCGCTTTGTATCATCGACGATCTAACGTGCTGGGCCATTAACGCAGTTCAGGACAAACGTTATCGGCGTTACGCATACGATAAACGCTTTCATCCCCTTACTCCGCAACGGGAAGACGAAGAAAGTTTTGGTAGTCTCCTCATCTATGGGCTCTCCTCAGTTTCAATTGGAAGCGGTTTACGTTACTTGTCCGTCATATTCCATCTCGAAGGCCGCTCTGAACATGGTTGTCGTTAAGTTTGCTACGAGATTCAAAAAGGAGGGGTTCACTTTCCTAGCTGTCTCGCCTGGGCTAATCAAAACCATGCCTGGCCTTAGTAAGTTCGATTTATCATTTTCATCGATAAACGCTGATATATCCTCCCTCAACCTAAGCTGCCAATGAGCTTGACAAAATTTACGAAGAAATGGTCGCTCAATGTCGAATCGCAAATCCGAACTACCCTGGTACAGTTACTGTGGAACAATCCGTCAATGACCAACTAGCGTTGCTGGGGAGGGTAACTCCTGAGCAGACTGGTGCTTTCCTCCATGCGAATGGGGACGACGCAAATTTCCTCACCTACTAGTTCTATTTATTTAAATGTTAGTAAGAGTGTTGAAATTTCAGTGAGCCAGATACTCATGAGTGAACGGTTCTACTTGCGTTGTTTGTCAAGTATAATTATAGGACGACTCGATGCGAATTTAAATTCAAGATTGGTTTGTCGCTGAGGAACTCGGAATTTTCGCCTGCATTGTTTTTGACGATATCCCGCATATTTGCAGGTTCGATCTTGGCCTCCGTGATGCCTGCATAATCTTCTCTTCGCAACGACAGCACAAAGAGAGAGAAGAGTATTCGTTCGTGAAATCAGCTATTGCCTGGTTAAAAGATATTCAATTCGAAATGCCTTCTTGAACACAGTCGTTATCAAGTTCGCCACAAAACTTAGACAGGAGGAATTCACTGTCCTGGTTGTCTGATCTGGACTCGTGCGGGAAAGCTTGCAAAGGTGTTAGTAGTAACACGAAGAAGTCTTGCTTTTCCCGGAGTTCAGCATTTCGGACAGCATAACCCGAGCCCTCCAGTTAACCTACTGCAACAAGCAGAGAGTGGGAGATCAACTGTACATACCTCAAAGTATATATACGAAACACAGTGAACAAGCCACTGAGTGACCCATGCGACTGACGGAATCGTATTTACTCTCTGATTTGGTCTGTATGTCTCCCCAAGAAGCTGATTCCAAGCTCCATCTTTGTAAGCTAATTTCGGTACTTTTGTAGTTATTCACTTTTACCAAATTCGACTTCCATCTGTACACTGGCGTGCTTTCGACCATCTAATTTTATATCCGAGTCGGCATTAGTTAGAGTGCTAAGTAAGCGGGACGATATTTTGATTCACCTCTGCAGGCGCTGTTGTGTTTCCGGAAGGTAGGAACTGCAGGATGCTGACGCATCATTTCAAAATACGGTTTATCCATGAAACTGATTTTTAAGTGACGTTGTATGCCTTTGCATGCAAGCAAATGCCAATCGTCACTGAGTAATCGAGCGAGTAACGTTTTAGAAAGACACTGTCTTGCAGTGTATAAAATGCATGAGTCCCTGATATCTGCTTAGTATCTTCAATATTGAATTTCAGCGAGTCTAGAGATGGTTTCATATGTCGTCGTTGGTGCGCCGAGGGGCATCGGGGTAATTTTCTCTTCTAGATACGAAAGTCAAACTTTAGCTCACTTTGATGAATGGTCTCGTGCAGCTTGACTTCGTACAGGCATTGAGTACAGATCCGAGGAATAAGGTTTTTGCCGTAGTGCGCAACGCAGAGACGGCGTCTCCGCTACGGGAGTTCGTTGAGTCGGAGGCAACCAGCAAGAACGTAGTCATACTCCAAGCCAATCTAACAGACTACAATACACTTAAGGTATAAGTGACCTTAACCTCCTATCAAATTCGGACAAACATTGACGCTATGCACTCAGTTAGCAGCCGAAGAAGTATCAAAGGCCACCGGTGGAATCTTGGATGTACTCATTAACAACGGTGCTCTAGTCATTCATGAGAAAGGCATGCTCACTATTGATGCTTTGTACGTTCCGTCAATCTTTTGTTCAATGATGTGGAGCCTTCCTGATACTGAATTCTTCCAGCCCTGATGAAGAGACACTTGAGAAGGACTTCCTGGATTTTGTACGCAATCTAGTTGCTTTATCCAAAGCTCGTATTTGAATATTTCGCAGTTTAAGACCAATGTCGTCGGCGTTACCCACGCTATCAATGCCTTCCTTCCTCTTCTCCGTGCTGGTAATTCGAAGAAAGTGTTGACAATTTCATCATCCATGGGGTCTCCTCGCACGAATCTCGCATCTAACCATGACACCCTTGTATCGTATGCGGTCTCGAAGGCCGCGTTAAATATGGTGGTCGTCAAGTTTGCGGCGAGGTTCAAACAGGAAGGTTTCACATTCCTGTCCGTAAGCCCTGGACTCGTGAAAACCATGTCTGGACGTGGGTGTGTTTCAAGTTAACACTTATTGTATGCGCCGCTGATGAACGAATGTCCCCGACTTATCCCCAAGCCGCTGATGAGATCGACAAAGTCTACGATGCGATAACTGCGCGAATTCGAACAGCCGATCCAACTTTCCCTGGACCGATTACCGTTGAAAAGTCTGTCAAAGATCAGCTGGCGTTACTAGAGAGAGTAACCCCTTCAGACTCTGGAGCTTTCATTCATCCGAATGGTGACGATGCCAACTTCGTTACGTATTAGTTTCAGCTTTATAATGATTGTGAGGAATTTAGATATTAGATGTGTATAAATCGAAGAAAGAAGACTTTCACTTTTCGTAATAGATGAATCCTGGTGGATAAAGCTACATCTGAGAAAGGCAGCAGTATACTTCACACCTGCGGCAGAGGACCTTGGCCACAGTGTTTTGTCAAGGTTTACCACAGATAAATTTTAGTCCTCTGAGGCGTGAAGACGTCGGGTTATAGTATAAATCTTCTCAACAAAGGAAATCTTGCTCACATGATATCTACCGACCAACTGTATCAAGGATAAGCCAAGCGCCATCGTGTAACCTCTTTTTGCAACACATTTCCCGTTCCCCTAGATCAGGAGTAACTTAATTCCGTATCGGAAGGATTCTCAACTTCTTCAAGAGTAGGTGCTTGGTCAAATTCAGGTAAGTGCGACCATTCGGAGTATGCCAACCGCGAGTCGACTTGCAGCACATGTTTTGGCTATCGCCTGACGCTGAAATGTCAAATTGCTAAGGAGTTACACCGCGGATTGCAAGACCTAGGCACGGAATGTCGGGGCAGGACGTCGCAGATAAGCTGGTTGACGGTTTCAAATCAAATGGACCAGGTGGCCTGTACGCTAGTCCAAGTTATGCAAGATTAAGCATCTAAGTAATGAGCTGTTCAAAACCTGCGGAGCGAGACAATACTGCTCATGTATTAGGAATTGCGCACCTTTCGATCTTAAATCAGAGTTGTACAAATACCGACCAAAACTTTGCAAGTGAAAGTAAAGAGATCTCGACCGCGGGACCCGAGCGAATAGTAGATGTGGTATCTTCTCTCCGAGTCATCTCAAACGATCATTATGCGGATAGTCGCTCAGGAGAAAGATGACGCGGACTGCACGAGAAAAAAAGATTGGCAAGTCAAGTTTGATGTCTTCCAGGACATACAAGGCTAACAGCTTCGATGAAGATTCCTGCATCTTCCATTTTATCTTATTCGGGTACTGATGAATTACTTTCTTGCTGTCAATACAATTGCTTCAAAGTCTATCCTTGGAGAGAAGAGGCACTTCGCACTTAGCTGATAAGTTCATGACTTCCGAAAACTTGTTTTGTCAGAGGTATTTAAATGACTAAATGCATATTATGCCATGGTGGCCGCGTGAACTACGCACGGACGAAATAACGAACCAACTCTAACCCGGAGAGCAAATGAACACGAATAGGATTGGAAATTGATCTGATAATCGTGAGAAACGTACTAATTATGAAGTTTACATAATGATAATTTGTGTTCAACTACAAAAGTAATCGTAGTTCTTCAACTTCTTAAGTCTTCAATGCATGGCAGCGGCGTTCTCATTGATTAATGCGACATATTTCGCATTGCGAGGACGAAGATCGAATTTGAATTCCCTTGGTTTGCTGTAATCATCACAGTTGTCATTACCTGCACGTATACTAAGAATAATGCATACCTAGCGAAACCTGGTGTGAACTCTACAATCGGCACTTGTTCTTCGCCCGTGGCAGGATCGATTGGCGGTCGAATATCGAATGCTGCAAGTATATTTGCCATCGCTAACCAAGCGCTAGAATCTGCAAAGTAACGTCCTGGGCAAGCACTAGAAAGTGAAGTACATGAGATTTCCGATGCATACAGTCTGTGAAACGTGAATAACGCACCGTCTGCCGAATCCGAACACAAGTGAACTGGGATCATCTATACTTGTACTGTTTAGGCCGACAGCCACTTTTCCAGCTCCATGCTGCATTTCCAAAGCATCCTTCACTTTCGACAGGAAGCGTTCCGGTTTGAAAGATTCGGGGTCTGGGAAATGACGTTCATCTCTCATCATTTTCCTAGAAGTGGGCAAAATCAGAACTATTCATAGCGAAGCTCTTATGGAATGGAGTTCCTTACCATATGTTTGGAATCAACATCGATCCGGCTGGAATCCTGCGTTGGCGATGCACATCTTCAGCTATTGATTGATGTGCAAGACCTTGCCATGGTTACGTGTCAGCGAAAGGAGGAAAATTTGCTAAGGACACCAAAGCAACTTACCCAAAGGAAGTGGAGGATTGGTCCTACAGTCAAAATACATCAACGCTCTGGTACTGAAGTCTTAAAGAGTTACAAAAGGCGTTACCGATAAACCTCTTTGAGGATGCATTCAATGTATGGCAGGTTAGGTCGGTCATCATGAGTTGGAAGCCGGCTGCTGCCTATAACTTCATCGATTTCGGCATGTGCACGGGCAACGACCTCAGGATGGCATGTCATCATGAGCAAGAATGTGCGAAGGACGATTTCCGACTAATGTAATACGTCTGTGAGAACCGTGTATTAATAGTAATAAGAGCCATACTGACTGTCTCAACTCCAGCTGGGAAGTAAAACGGGTTATTTCTTTCTTTCTCAGATGTGTCAAATAGCTTCTTACCTCCGTAGATAACGCCAGCAACATGCTTTATGTTAACTTCGAAATCTTTGTCACCTGGATACTTGGTCTCGTACGTGTCGATCATCCGGCTCATCAGAGATGGAATGGCCGTTCCGGATGACTATGAAGTCCCACATAAGAATTTGTCATGGTAGTAGTTATCCGAGCTTACCATGCGTTCCTTCACTTCGTTATAGGGAATATCTCTCGCGTCTACATGTGCCTTGTAAGTATCGACGGCTTTCCTCCGGAACGATGCTCCTGGGAACCAAGTAGGGATGTAGCGCACTGTTGAAAACAATCGATGGTCAGATCCCGCCAGAGTCGTACATGCGATTACTTGTCTTCGCTTACATATCGGAATGAAGTCAACGAGTGTCGCACCCGGCGTGCCTCCCTCGATGAAGCGAATCGCTGAATCAACCGCAAGCCTAGCGATAATATCGTCTTCCGAATTGACTTCATGCCCGTAAGTAGCCATAACTAGAGTTCCAGCGGTGAACCTTGGAAATCAACACTTTAATAACAGATCATCTGATTTTGAGATATGAAGTGCACCTATACGTGTGATTTGTGAAATTCTCTGGAGACATAAGGAGATTCTTGAGATAGATGCTTAGTTGCGCGCTCTGTAGTGGACGGAATGAGGATATCGCTTGAGAATTGAAATGCTGCTGCATTAGACGTCGCTGGGCTCGAAACCGTTCTCCGTAGGTTATGAATGGCATCAACATCTCTGTTCCAAATCTACGATGGTGTCAAGACGAACAGAACAGGATTACGTCGCTACAACGGGCACGTACAACTCGCCATGAAGGACAAATCGAGGCCTATCCGAAAAATTTGAAGCGCGTTTGTCCAAGAGATCACGAGCGGCCTCCGCAGAGTTCAAAATGATCAATGGCTTCCCAATGATAGACAAATAAACTACGTCTCCTAAACACTCCCAAACATCATCAGCAACTCTGCAAGATCTTCATGTAGACTACTAACCGAGCTTCTTTCCCCAATCCGCGAATATCTTCCACTGAAATTCCGTCGGCATAACACGGATGTTTCCGATGATTGGCTCGGACGGCGGACTAGGAGGAAGAGGAAGTCGAGAGGAATTCCACCGCTTCCTCATCTCCGCGATCGCTACGCATGCTACCAACGCTGAGAGAGCGTACACATAGGTATTGGCCATACGAATATCGAGGTTCAGAGGAAGATGCATGGCGTGCTGCAGTACGCTCTGCTCGGAGGAGCTTCTTATAACATGCTTGCCATCGAAGTTTGATATACAGCGCTAAATGACGCGAATTTGCTCCTCGAGTCATGCATGGGAGAACCTTCACGAACGAGTACGTTAATTCAAAACGCGGCGTCCGAGAGAACCCCCGAAGACGCACTTAGAAGCCTGCCCATTACCCCTGTGTTCAAATCCCAGGCTAGCTGCTTATTTGAATCAAGCAAGGCAAGGCCTGTAACGCAACGTAATGTAACGTCTTGTCTGTAAATATCCGTTATGTTTATAGCCTCCCCTCTATCAATCATAGCCCTTTGATACACGGAACACGCATCGATGAGGGCTTTCACGTGCCCCATAAGAACCTGCAAGGGACTAATCGTGAGCTGTTATAGTACATGCCCTTGCAGTTTACAACAGGTGCGCTGCAAAGGCGGATCCCACGAGATTGGATCCCGATAATAGGGAAGCACGTAACGAAGCAAACTCATTGTGGATGCGGAGAAAAGGTGATCCCATTCGGCAACGGACTCTGCCTTCGGATTCCCAGATGACAAGAATAACGTAAACGCTATACCAAATGTAGACGGCCAGTTATGAGTGCTTTCAGAACACTAACACAGTTTCAGACTTTACGTCTGCCGTCAGTCTTTAGAGCGAGGCTGACCACCGAATCAATCCTGCTCTTCTGAATGTAAAACTGGCATTTCAGACACGAATAAACTTCAAAATGAAGACACGAGTGATAGTCACGCCTGTGACCTCGAATGGTAAAAATACTGGTGCGTTTGCTGCCTTCCACGTCCCGCTGTGGCTGCTGTGATGAGCCGATTCGACTTTCGCGTAATGAAACTTGCTGGGGCAATCCGGGCTTTGGGAATTAGAGTGAGATAATTGCGAAAACGTGCAATCCATGATGAACACAGTTCCGTAATAAAGATACAGAGAAACCAGGGCAATGTCGCTTCAAAGCTAAGCCGGCTCTCAAGCACAAACTACTAACTCAAGGCACCTGAGGGAGGCCGATGAAAGTGCGTACGGCGTTCCGCTTTGCGTTAGTGTCGCCGGTAATTGGAAGTCCGTATGCTTTCATCATGCCCTCATATCGTTCCCCTTTGTAAACACGACAAATAATCAAAAAGCAAGAACAATCAACGACAAGATGTTGGGCTCACTGGTAAGATGTTCAAACTCTCCACGTGTTGCTGGGAATTGCGCTGGGACCTTCCCTGACTTGTCAACGATCGGCTTAATTGCTCCTTTCGAGACAGTCACAATTGCGTTATGCAAACGTGCGGGCAGGCGCTGTTGGCTAGAATATAGTTAGGAAAGATGCTTATCAGGAAGCAATTTACTGCATACTCTAGCTTATACTCCGCAATATGATCCTCCAACTGCTTTTGGAATTTTTCGGGACCTTCTGTCACTGACCGAATTTCTTGTCTAAGCTCTTCAAGCTCTCTCTGTAGCCTCTCCTGTGTCTCTGCTATTTCCTCCATACGTGCATGGACTTGAGCGATTTGTACGTCAGGAAGAGGAGGTATAAGCGCTATTGCCTGACTCGCAGCGGCGATCTGGTCCGCCATGGCGTTGAACGACGCAGAGACACGATGCGTCCAGAACGGCTGGCCAATATTCGCGCGCGCCTGTGCATTTGCGAACACCGATGAAGATACTGAAGTGCTGGCTTCATGGGAATTGTCGGATTGAGAGCCTAGAGATGGTGGGGGAGACGACTGTCGTTCTATGTGCACGACCTGCGGTTTCTCGCTCGTCTCTTGAGCTGGCTGGCTCGACGGTTGACTAGTCGCCATGCTTTGAAATGCGATTCAAGTGCGTCTTCCTGCGGTTGGAAATGATAGATATAACGATGAAGTATACGAGGGAACGACATCTATAAGTTATCACAGCTTGTCTGCTCGCCGTACGGCAAGCCTACCGCTCATGGAGCCAAGCATGGGACAGATCCCTGATATATCCATGTCGTCTGAATGACTTTCTTCCGATTGGATCACGATATACAATCAACTGAAAATCGCCTGCCGAACTGAAACTGATGGCGCGCACCGTCATGGAAGTGTGGGATACGTTCTCATTGCCGTGAGTGCTGCGACCACAAGAAGGCTTTCCCTCTCTGGAATAACCCTTGAAGGTGCCTGAGACTCTCTAGAACAACGGCTATAACGCATCCACGACGTAAGAAAAATCTTAGATGCAAGCAGCTTGCAATGCTGGCATTGACCCGGTACAAGGAAGTGCAACAGACCGTCCGGCAGTCAGAGACACCCAATGCTAGTCTCCGCGCGGATAAATGAATGCTCTTTTGAGTAAAAAGTTCCCCATATACTCAACGGTCTAGCAGGATAGAAATGGGGAAGATGGAACGTCGGGCGGGAGTTGTAAAACTGGACGGGATGATCTCAAGAAATAATTACGTAATCGAAACTCAAAATAAGTAGAATTTGAATTTTGAAAAAAATATAATCCAAACACTTTTTCGTCTTCCCGGTACATTGATATTCTCTACTCCTCTGATAAAAGAGAGGATAAACAAGATCTGCTGGCACCTGAATCGACCAACACTGGTCCCGTCCATGACCGTCTATTCGCCAATTGACTTCTTGCTGAGTAGATGCGAATGGGAAGATAACAAATTGAGACCATGTACCCATGACTCGTCTGCACACCAGTTCTTCCACAGTTCCCAGCAGCTTAATGCTTAACCCACTTTACTAATATAGATACGTCAAAGCACTATAATATTTATCTCCTTGCCCTCGTACGACTCCGATAACCTGTCAGTCATGGCTACCTTGACCGCAACAGTTGCTCCGAACAAAATGAATTCGGCCACAGGACATTTCAGTCTGAACGCGCTGGAGCCTGTCAAAATAGGATCGTTGGTGTGCAAGCCTCTCCACCCTACGTTCGGTGCCGAGTATGTAGCGGTTCCCTGAATTTCCCTTGTATATTACACTAACTATCCCTTTTCTGCAGAGTCGAAGGCGTGGATTTCTCAAAGCCAGTTTCAGAGGAACAAATTAAGGATATCATTGCAGCTCAAAATCGGCAAGTATGCTGACAATATCTCGTGAGAGGATGCCTCATCCTGCCTCGTCAAGATTCGGAGTGACGATTTATCGAAATACCGACTTGACGGACGAGACACACATCGCGTTTAGTCACCGGCTCGGCGAGCTCGAGAAAGTTCCCCAGATCCGCAACTTAAGCATACCTGATCGCTTCAGTTACCCGGAGCTGTTTGATATTGGTAATACTAATGCCGACGGATCGATATTCAAGAAAGATGACCGGCGCTGGTGGTTCAACAAAGGTTGGTTGTATTCAACTTGTCCCGCATATGAGCAATAAGCTCATTTATCTGATATAGGGAATGCGTTATGGCACACGGACTCATCCTTCAACCAGCACCGAGCGAAATATTCACTACTTCTTGCTCACGTTATTCCCAAGAACGGCGGTGATACCGCTTATGCCGATGTACGTGCAGCGTACCGCGACCTTCCCGAGGACCAAAAGGCGAAGCTCCGCGGACTGGTATGCAAACACGAGTGGGATTCCGTCAATTGATCTATTGTCTCAACTTGTTCTAATCACCGGGACTTTGCGGCTTTCCGTAGTCTCTGGCATTCTCGGCAGCTGGCTGCACCAGAAGAATTCAAGAGCATCACTGAGGACGAGAAAAGCTCCAAAAAACCATCTTACCACAAACTTGTCCAGGTTGCACCTGACGGAGAAGAGGTATGGTTATAAGCGGTACCTCTGCACACACCTCATTTATCCGAGAATTTAGACGCTCTACATCGCTTCTCACATTTCGGAGGTCGTCGGAATGCCGAAGGAAGAAGGCTCCAAGCTTATACGAGAGCTCATCGAGCACTGTACTCAACCGCAATATACGTTGATTGTTAAGTGGCACCAACCCGGTGACCTTGTGAGTGGAACAATAGTATGCTTCCTTTGGTGAGATAATAATCAATTCATTCGTTTAGGTTTTCTGGGGTACGGATTAGCATATATAAATAAGTACTCCCTCACCACTGATATCCTCCTCCTTTAGACGATCGTTGTACCATGCACCGTGCCACATCATTCAGTGACCAGTCGGAAGTTCGTGACATGCGTCGAACGACTGTCTATGATGATGGTCCGTATCAAAATGGAGTCCCCGAAGCTGCATATGTGGAAGCATAATCTCAAGAACTGGATACAGATTGTAAACGAAGTTTTCATGTCTGAGCCTTATGCACTTGTATTTTAAAGATTGCTTGTCTGTCGTTTTAAGTCATGTATCAAATATAGATAGTATAATATAGGCACAAAGCGTGCCAGTGTGCGTAAACGTCTCAACGCCTTAATAGCGTAATATAGCAAGGAGCAGAGCATTGGTTAGATGTGTCAAATACTTGGTTGGAGCAACTTACATGCTCGATTACGAGCAAAGCGGTGGACAGCAAGAGCCCCACTTTTATAGTCATGGCAGGACTAGTAAACACGTACATTTCATCTTCATTCACAGGTTGCTCAGAAAATAGCCTGGAGTTGTGTATTATCATTAAGGTAACTCTCGAGTCAAAACGGGAGGGTCCCATTGATTGCTGTGCGGAAACGAAGAGCCTCTATGAGACCTTCTCGATATCCACGATTAATTCGGAATTGGATGTTTTCTCGTCGTTCGATTCTATGGCAGCCGGACGGAGCTTGACCGCTGGATAAAGTCAATCATCTTAGTCATCTCGTTAATTTCACGCTGAAGGAACTTATCGCTAACAGGAGAATTTCCGTGCCGGTATACGCATATTGAACAGCCTGAGAGTTCTCAATAAAATTACGGTTGCTAAAATACACTGGAAAACGTACTCATCGAGTTCCTCGAGACTTCTACCCCTTGTCTCGGGCAGGAAGAAGTCTAGAAAGCGGGTTATTAGCCTAGTTAAATAGAAACGAACGGAAACTCACATATGAAAACGAATGTAACCAGGTTCGATGGCATCCAAATCCAAGCGACTATAAAACACGCAATCGACTTATACACGCACGTTCGGGAGCTGAAATGAAACGTCGCACCTTTGGCGCCCCAATTGAGGCCTGTCGTATTTATGAAGTATGGCGTAGTAAAGACAGTGAGCCAAGCGAAGAAGAATCCAATCGCCATAGACACTCCAAATGCATGACTGCGCAAGCGATTCGCAGTCATCTCACCAGCGGTCACCCAACTAAGCGGACCAATCGTTGCTCCGTAGGCTCCACTAAAGATACAGAGCATAGCTACGAGCGCTTTCCCGTCAGCCAGTGTTGTATGAGTCCTCGTAATTGAATAGATTAGCGCAACAGCAAGCATGGACACTGTTTCCATTCCGAACCCAGACAAAAGCAAGGTGCGACGGCCAAATCTGCGGGCTAGAGGTAGTGCGCAAAGGGAGGTGAAGAGGTTAACAGATTGCAAAATTACAGTGTCGATGAATGGATCGCTCGCCCCAGCGACTTGGAAAAAGAATGTCCCATCTACGGAAACGATAAACATACGTCTCATGCAAAATATTGAAGACTCACAGCCGACCAAGAAATTAAGTCCTGATGCAGCATGGAAGGTTGAACAAGCAATGCATAGAAGCGTACGTCGCAGGTCAGTTCCTTTCCAAATATCGGTCCACGCGACGTCGGTTTCCATTTCTTTCTCAACAGCAATGGCGTCCTCAATAATACGTATCTCCTCTTCGATTTCTTCTCGTGCTGTTCCTTTCGGCCGCAATCGGACCAGCGAGCGATCAGCATCCTGCCTCTTCTCGTTCACAAGGAGCCAGCGAGGAGATTCTGGTACGAGCCAGACGACGAAAAATAACCAAACAGGGACAGCGTAAAGGATGCATAGTTGAGCTTGGTATGATATCTTTGCAAGATTCTCCGAAAATGCGTTTGAAATGACTGCGCCGATAAAACTGCCCAGGTTTACGAAAGGCTGGAATATGGATACCATCAACCCACGCTAGTCCAGAAGTCAGTGTCGTCATCAAGATGCAAAGAGTGATGAAGTCAAACCTACAAGGTGAGGTGGCGCAATCTCACTTATGTACAGAACAGTTGCATTGACGTATAAACCATTGGACAGCCCTTCGCAACGAATTACATGAGACACGGATTATTGCGCCGCGAATGTGGAACCACTCACCGAGAAGTAGCCGACCAATATAGACAGGCCACTGGGAGGTGACAAGTATTTGGATGGTAATACCGGCACAACCGAGAACAGATGCAACTGCGAAACTCATGCGACGGCCATAGCGAGCAGACAACGGACCGTTGGCAACCGATGAAATGATAAGACCGACTTGAAGGAGACTTGTAATCAGCTGCTGGAATGTTTTCTAGGACGGTGTGAATGTAAAATATAGAATCTATTTTACAAGATTTGAATCACCTCGATTGTGAACTGACCAGAACTTGTCCGAACGCCATATACACGCAAGAAGCCTTGCATGGCTTGAAAGCCATTGACTATCTAACGGATCATTAAGGGATGGAGTACAATCTCCCATGTATTTCGGTAAAACATACCCCAGTATCGAAGCCATATTGGAAGTTAGATACCGCGACCATGAGGCAGAATATGAGGCACTTGACAAATATCAACATCAGTGACGAAGTAGCTTGTTCACTAAAGACATTACCTTGACATTGTCCCTCAACGGAGTCTTCCGAATCTTTGAGGACTCAGTGATCGGGGTAGCAGCGAATGTCATGTTGGCTCATCCACAGACGCACTGGCCAGTCCCATCTGAATAAATAGTTAGTCCATCCACTCGAAACTCCAACGTCTTTGGATGGTCAGCAGACCCTTTGAATTCCCGGAGTCTAAAAATTGACCATGGGTGCGTCCTTTCGCCAATCAAAATCGTTGTGTGCTAATCATGCAACAAGGTGTCGTAAGCATGACAATCAATAATACATCTAGTATGTAGTCCCGAATGTCCGTCTGGTGGATATGCACGGAAACCGTGCGAAGCATCAGGCAAATCTTCAATGGCAGAGCTTGAAAATTGTAACGACACTCACTTCACAAAAGTTATTGTTATTCACCAGATTATCCAGGGACGTCAGGCAGATTGAAGTAAAGATCGGTTATGACGCGTTGCGGGACAAAGTCATGGTAATAGGACCGATGAGCACGACGATGAGTACACACGGGAAGAAAGGACGTTCGCGTAAACAGATCAACCTCAAGAACTTCTCACAATACTAGTGCTGTACAAACCTCGCCATTTCACGAAATAAAAAGACTGGCTGCCACATACTTTAGCTTGATAAAAAGACACTCAAGTGACTCTAAAAATAAAACATCTGTCAAAAATGCTTCAGTTCAGTGACCGTCTTTTCTTAAACCCAGAATGACACACCTTCATCTTCCTCGGGAGCTGTTTAGCTATTGCCACTATGTGTAGGTTCAGAGACTAGCTCGAATGACTTCCAGGCGCATGAATGATAGCTATCCATGTTGCCTGAATTCTTCTAGTTTATACTTGACTAATTTGATTGTTGGCCAATTAAAGAATCAAGATCTTATCAATAGCGTGAGAAAACCCAAACACGTCAGCACAGAGCACACAGATCGATTTTCTTTCTTCCGTCCAACTTCAACTGTCCTCAGCCCAATGTCATTCATTGCGTGTCTTTGCTTCCCTCGATGCGACTTGCTTTCTGTCATATCAGGTTACAAAATATCTCTAGCGATATCTCCCTCATGTCTTCTGCTATCCTTACCTCTGCGATACGTCAAAGTCTGACTGCAGCGTGCACCCTGATAATTCACTCAATGATCTACACGTCTCCACAGACGTTGAGTTACTAATGGCAGGGAAGAACAAATTTCTTGTGCGCCCTCTCGCACGCGGTACTTGTTCGGTTGTGTTTGTATATCTATAGGCGTGACCTTACGAGGTACCGTACAATTTTTACCCTTTTTGCTTTCTTTTTCTTTTTCTTTCTTTTTTTCGGTGATGGACCTTTGCAGGGACTCCCGATTGTATTCGTACCGGTGTCATCGGACACTTGAATTTTGGATACATTCGTGTATTATTACATCGTTATTTGATACAGGTCTTGTGATTTCAATAGGATGACGATTTAACGCAACGACTTTACGCTGATGACGTTCTCCACATCCCGACACGTCAAACTTATCCGGGCACCTCTTTTCAACCTTCCACCATTCCTCACAACCTCCCGCACCTTAGGGTCCTTTACTATGTCCCAATTCGCAACTCGCACACTACCTTCCAATTCATCACTACTGCAATTCGGTTGCCCCAGGTCAGGAGACACAGAAGTGGTCCGTGCAGGAAGAAACACGTCTTCTGAGAGTGGGTCGATTCCATGCAAGTGGTCTGTGTAAAGATCGCGAGTCGTGATTACGAGGCTACGCGGTTCGAGAAAGAGACTGAGAACTGGATTTGACATGTCGATAACACGTCCTCGGCTTTCCCTGGTCTCCTGCTTGATCAAAACTTCTTCCAAGCCGTCATTCAATGCCGTTCGTGAATGGGATAGAGTGTCGACAGACGGCTCAGTATGTTTATCGTCGGTGTTCTGAACTCCATCCTCTTGCACGGCACCCGAAGCAGACGTGGTGAATGACGCATCCTGTTTATATCGATAGTAGTGGAAGACTGTATGGGAGCCAAGCGATATTGTAGCGACGACGGGGTGGTACGAAGGTCCGTCTTCATGTGGCTACAGACTATTCAGATGACAAACGTACCGACATCGGTGTCTCTGTGACATCTTACCATTATACCCTGCAACGGAAGATACTGCACGGAGAGAGAAACGTCAGCTCATCAAAGCTTCTTTCAATTCCCCAAGGAGGCTTTATCACTCACCTCATTGACAATGATATGGTTCGGTGCGCCATGCCTTGAATTTGAGAATACGCCTGTAGATCTTAATCTCCCAATAATATCTGGGCTTCAGAAAGTGTCCCGATTGTTGGATAGAATAAAGTAATATATAATGAGCTACTGTTCTGTAGTCAATGCGAGGTGCAAGCAAGTGACATACTATTCAGTCAAAAATGGAGGTAATGCTTGAGCCAGAAGTTTATTCGAGGGTGTCAAGTCTCCCCCTTCAGAACGGCTTGATCAATCTAACGGTGCATGTTCGTCAGCGAACGAGCTTACCCCATACTTGCAGCCTTCATCGCAATTGCAAGCCAGACATGTGTCCGCGGTCAGGACTGCAAAGCCAACTAGAGTGAAGGAAACATGTACCTTCTGTTCTCCAAGCACTTCCACTTTGGTTTTGGAGCATTATAAATCTACCTGAATATTAAGATGACTGCAATATAGCCCAAATTTTTGGACGCTTGCCTGTCGCAAGAGGTAAGCCTCTTCCTGTTCGGAGATGAAGTCTGGAATGTAATGTGCTTTGGGGATCCCGGCACTATTAACAGCGAATAATGAAAGGTCAAAGTCAGTCATGTCCGATACTACTCCCTTCTTCTAAAATTCGGAAAGAGAGAGATTTCTGAAAGCCGCCAACAGACGAAACGACATAAACGACCGTTAAAGAAATAAGAAGTTAAACATGTTGACAAAATACAGTGTAATCGTGGGAAACGTTACTGTAAGTGACGCGTCGTATTCGTCAGCAAGACAATACTGATCTCGCGTGCCTGGCGGTTAATAGTAAGGCGGTCTGCCCTTTGACCATTCTGGCGCTTCATGCTCCCTTGTTTCCCTTCTCATACTTAATTCCACTTATATCGCTTCTCTTTCTTGCTTTCGCCATTATACGTCTGTGCTTTCCATTCAAGATTGCGTTTGGAAATCGAGGAAGGAGTGGTAATAGGGGAGACGAAATGGTGAGTTATGCGGCGTAGTCCAGAGGTGGGGGTGGCAAGCATACCGCTTTTCGTCTGGGAAAGTTTCGAGGGTTTATTGGAATTTGCTGATGGACTCCTCTTGTTTGATGCGCATATAGTCGAAGTCATCCAAGTCAAGGACATCAGGAGATCGGCTCTTCCATTCGACGAATGTTACGCAGTTCTGCAGTATCACTAACATCTCGTAAGCTTATGTCCACGCATTTTGCATGCCACAACTTTATATCTGACAATCTGTGGACGATTCATCGTTTGGCAATGTTATGTCCTTGACACACCCTGTGGCGGTCTGCTACTTGCACAATATTCTATTATTCTATTTATATACCCAACAATTTATACTGGTCATCCGTGCTCTGTCACATCTATCCAGCGAGAAAGAGGCACGAAAGTACTTAGAGAAATATAGGAGCCTCGAGGGCGCAATCAACGCGTACTACAACGATCCCAACGAATTCGGTGGCGGCTCTTCGAAACGCGCGGAAGCAGAACGAACAACGCGACTTAATTCACTCTTTGACAAATATAAAGGCCCGACTTCACCGCTATTCATCCTGGTTCATTTCATCTGACTTGCATCTGTAGATCCGGAAGGAGACGACATCTTGATTGACGGTACGATTAAATGGTGTGAGGACTTGGCAGTAAATCCGGAAGATGTCGTGTTACTGGCGATTGCATATGAACTCAAAGCCCCATCAATGGGAAGATGGACCCGATCAGGATGGCTAGACGGATGGCGTTCCCTTGGGTGCGGATCAATCTGAATGTTCTGATATCCGCTTATCTGAATGGGACAAAACTTTGCGCGTACAGTCAAGACACAATTGGAGGGATGCAAACGTCTTTAGCGGCCCTATCGCAGAAACTCGCTTCAGATTCCCGATATTTCCAGCAGGTGTACAAATACACATTCGATTTCGCGCGTTCTGAGGGGCAACGGAGTCTCGGTAAGTTATCGTTTCCAACTTGGATCCTACTCATCTCTCGTCCATACTCTCTTGCGAACAGCAATTGAGGATGCACAAGGTTTCTGGAGCTTGCTAATTCCTCATGGGCTATCTGGTGGTGCCTTGAGACATGTTGCAGCTGAAGATGAGGAGGATGAAGTAATGGCTACTGATGAGGAGGGCTGGCGGCCTGAATACACAGAGTGGTGGTTTGAGTTCCTCCAAGAAAAGGCAGTGAAAGGCATTAGCAAGGATACGTGGTCGATGGTAGGTGCCAAAATCGACCACATCCTGTTATATGGTTTTTCAACTGATATGAACTACTTCACAAAACAGTTCCTTGATTTTATACAGGCTATTGATTCGAAATTTGAGAAGTACGACGAAACAGGTTATTATTCAAATATTCTTTGCTTCTTTGCAGAAGTCGTGCTGATTCCTTTTACTCTTCATCTGCCCTCTAGCTGCTTGGCCTTCGACGATTGATGACTTTGTTGGATGGGCGCGCGAAAAACGCGCAGCCACTGCCATTGAGTAGACTCTTGGAATAACTATATCGTGAACTGTATGATTATACAGTAGACATGAGGCGGAATATACGGGTGGGGGGATTTCACATGTAAGAGTTATCACACGATAAAATTAATATCCACATACAACCGACGAGTAAACAAGTGATAATCAACAAACGACTTCCGTGGAACGAATTTTAACCTTTGTCCGTGAGACTCAACGAAACACATCCACCAACGCATTAACCACCGAGATACATTGCGTGATCTGTGGGCCAATTGGAGTACATCCGACGAACTATGTAATAGCACGATTGCCACAATGGCCTCAGGAGCAATGCAAGTAGTTCGAGTAGCTGTATACAGGTTAGTGACTTAGTAAAGATGATGGTAACGTGTTTATGAGTGAAATCGGCAAAGCTGTCTTCTTGCACGATCAAAGTAGCACCTTTCTGTTCATCTACAGAGTAACCCCGTGCTAGTCTAATATAGAATATTTGTATTTGGTTACTAACATGCTTCAAAGGTGGCACGCCAGGGTGCGTTTTGCTCTCTTCGCAATGCACGCGACATCATTGCAAATTGGTCGCTCGCATTTGCCATGTATATCTTATCGCACCAAGGTGCATGGGACCGGTTTAACGACGACTCCCCAACAGACTCTGCTGCTTAACAAGGAAAGATGTTCTCCTTAAAGAACGTGTGCATACCCGAGTTTGAGGGTCTCGAGCTGCAGGGCCTGAACGGGGTACCTCCACCCAGTTCTAGATTAAAGCAGAAAATATCCTGGCTTAAACCAACCGAATGCATTGGACTGTCTTCAGCTTCAATATATGTCCGTAGGCAGTTTGATCCATCTCCGTTCCTCACTGAACACCATGCGGCTTTTTCCTTCTCAATGATTTTTAGTAAGCAATATGGTTGCTGATGCTTTGAATTCCGTTCATAGACGGTGAAACAGTCAGATATCATGAAAGTTTCAGGACGAGAGGTATACGTAGCAAAGGTACAGTATGTACAAGAGAGGGATAAGATGGACGAAAAGGACTTGGACCTAATTGAGCGCTATAAGAGCGAAGTTCGCTTCATGAGAGAACTTAATCATCCGAATGTGGTGTGTCTGATTCTCATCACTATCTAGTACTTTTGTTCATAAGTATTCTCACACCCGGAAGCTCAAAGCATATGGTTATTACTTAAGTGATAAGAATGTAGTGGCCATACTCGAGTATGCTGAACAAGGGGAGCTCTGTGAACACTATAAACTTCATGACGAGGGCACACTTAATGTACAAGTCGCAAAAGACTACATCAAGTGCGCTTATAGCCTTTGTCTACGGTATCGACTTCTGTCTGATTGTATTGATTAGGCAGCTATTAAGTGGACTATCGCACATTCACTCGAAGAGAATTTGGCATGGTGATCTAAAGTAAGCATTCGTCCATTACTTGGATGTATTGTTCTGAAGGACCGATACTTCTTTTAGCTATTCGAACATGCTATTGAGCAAGACGGGAGATCTAAAGATAAGTGACTTTGGAATGTGAGTTTAAGTTTAACTATAAAGTCACTAGAAATGCAATGGTTTTCCCAGCTCGGTCAAAGTCGACGAAGTCAAGCCCGGAGGAAAGTGGGAAAAGAAAATAAGAGGAAAACTAGGATACATAGCTCCAGAACAGTTTAAGGGAATAAAGGGCATGGTCAACGACATTTGGTCTGCAGGGTAGGATTTCCGTGCCGCTCTTTTTACGAATTATGTTAAATCAGTGGCGTTTACTAGTGCTGTTCTTTTCAAATTTTTAACTGGAAAGAATATCTACTACTACATCGCGAAAGACCTAAGAATAGAGTACCACCAATATCAAGACTATTATTGGGAGGCTGTTGGAAGTAGAATAACGAATGACATAGTTGAGGAAATGCTAAAGCAATATCTACCACAAGACGTATCTTCCAGAGGTGAGTAGTTTCTCTACAGTTTCGAGTAGGGAGAATATGCGACTGAGGTATGGTATCGCGCAGGAAGAGATTTCATTCGAAGACTCCTAGAGGTCGATCCAAATAAGAGAATGTCTATCAAGGAGGCGCTAGAGCATGAGGTGAGTTTCAATGCAGCTGAAACAGCTTTTGTGATGTTGTACTTACATCCTCCACTTCTGATTATAGTGGCTGACCCAGGTAAACGTGCACGGGAAGCGGAGACAGAACACGCTACAAGCCTCTGAATCTAGAGGATCGGAACAACATAGCGGATCGGAACAACGTGGAGGGTCGGCACATCAGAGTCAAAGACATGGTGACAAGAAAAAGAAAAGAGGCTAGCCAGAATATCAGAGTAGTTACTAGGAAATACTGCCTGTAATAGGTGACATTGAAAACGTAATAAAATAGAATCTTTGAACTCCACAGGATACTTTTTCTTGACATCCTACTGAGTTGGAAGAGCCTGGTGTTGTGATGTTATTCCTGTTCAATTCAAATACGTACATTCGGAAAAGAGGTCATGGCTACTCTCTTCACTGTCTTTGCCTTGCACCTACCATATCCTCCGCACGGCACGAGAAGGCTATTAGTCCAAACAGAATGAGAGAACAATTCTCCTAATCTATCCAACTGTTCTCGTGATTCTTCTCCCAGCGGATAAGTCTCTGCATCAGGTCTCCCCATTCGTTCTCCGTCCGTATTCCATCTAACCATTGCTCTATAGCAAGAGAGCCACGGTCTTCAACCCGTTTCCAGGCTCTCCATAGCGTCTGGAATTCCTCGAACCTCAGCCGTCTCCACTGCTCAACATAAGGCCTCCCGTCATCCGGAACAGCACCTCGATCCTTTAAGAAGTTGAGAAGACCTTCCTCATACACATATGACGCATTTCCAAAACCGTCCACATCCTCCAGCCGATGACCGACGCGATATGGATCATACCCGCGTTCATAATAATGTGCCTCTCTTTTACGCAGTGAGTTGAGCATTTCGTGTCGAGATGGAAGAATCCCAGGGTTTGCAATAGCATGTGCGACAAGCATTGCTTGTGCAAAGTCCGTAGGACAGTTAGCTACAAGCGCGTTGAGACCAACGAACGACAGTGCCGTTGGAGGATAGGATGATGCAAGCGAGAATATATGTTCGTGTAAAGGATATATGTACCGCAAGTTCGTCGTAATATGTGTTGGATGGGGATAAGATTCGTTTGCGCTTGGGGAAATGAGGAGAGCGTCTCCAGCTGTGAGAAACGGGGCGCGAAGTTCGTAACCCGTCCCCAGTACGACTGCATCAACATCATTGGCAACCGTACCATCCATGAACACAACGCCATCCGCTGTAAAATGCGAAATCCCAGGCTTAAGAATATATCGTTCATTGAGGCGATTGGGTGGATTTCCGCTTCTCAATGAGAGGAATATCTGAAGATATGTGAATATTTGACTAAATCAAATCTGCAACCTAAAGCAATTCATATAATTCTAAGTTCTTACCTTATGACAATGAGAAGCTGTATACAGAACGACATCCCTTGCACTTGCTCCGCCTCCAACGACAAGTACATTTCTGCCTGCGTATTTCGTTCCGTTCCTCCAATACATTGAGTGCAAGATCTCCCTACTCTTGTTTGCAGTCAGCCAGTCATCCTGACCTGGCCACGTCGGAATACGAGGATAATGATAATGCCCATTAGCTGCGATAAGATGGTCAAATAATCCATGTTGCTCCAGATCTGCGTTTTGGTGTCTTGATGTAATGTTCCACTTTCCCGTAGTCGAGTTCCCTATCCATTCGGTTCGGACAACACTCGTGTTGAAACGTATATATTGTATAAGCCCATAGTGTTTTGCGAAATCATAATGGTATTGGGAGACGTATTCATGAGTAGGGAAGACGGGAGTCATTGGCGGAAATGGAAAATGTGGATAGGTCATAGTTGGATGTGGAGTGTTCGTCCTGAGGGATGGATAGAGTGGCGTTTCGGGCAACTTTGGTGGATGCGGGTCATTCAAATCAGGGAGCCTGCACAATAATTGGTTTTAAGGAAGGACAAATCGCGTGATACATACCATATGCCACTGACATTCCGGCGTTCTTCAAATAGCACAATTTCCCAGTTCTGGCGTACCTCCTGTGGTAACTCGAGTAGAGCTTTCAAAGCAGCCAGACCTGCACTCCCCGCACCGACAATGGCTATAGACTTATCACGGTTGGTAAGGGTTAGAGTATCCTCTCCAACACCAAACACTTTCTGCTCAAAAGCAGCGACAAAAGTAGTTGCCGACGAAAGAGCAAACAGAGCCAGGAACAACAGTCGACATCGGCGATGCACTTCGCTTAAGGAGGCCATGAACGCGTCAGAGAAAGGTTAGCCATGACTGAAAGTAGTGAGGTGCAGCATTGTCAGCCTCCACTCAGGTCATCCTAACGGTTCATGGCGTGATCGGGACCTGTGTTGCCTGGCATCGTTCCGTGAAGTCCGCGTTGGGCCCGTAATTTGACGTAGAGTAAGATGACAGGCATTTTTCGGGACAGCAAGCTTATACAGCCATGTTGTAGCCTCGAATAATTATTATGCTCAATAGATTTCAGAGGTGAAAAGCAGAGTTGACGCGTCTTGGTCGGGAAGTGACGTGCTTCGGAACAGTACAATAAGATTTGCTGACTCAGCGGCATCAACTCATTTCGACTTGCAAACTTGCAAAGACCCACACTCTGAGCTAGAAAAAAGGCCATTCCCGTCGCTCATACTGTACTCATAAGAAACAAACTCAGGTCAGGTCTAAGCAGGTCTGTGACAGTAAAAGAATTGCGTTAGGTGTATACGATTACTGTCATTTAATGATACTACGAATGCAGCAGGCGTTTGCTTCACGCGCTGGAACGCGTCGCATTCACGTGACACGCGTCAGTGGTTAGTGTGGCACATATTTTTTCGAGTCGAAGGCTTTGATTCCTTTATTCCACTTTTCGTGTTTCTCAGCGTCATATAGTCCTCAACGACCTAGAAGATGGCGCCCAAAGCGGGCGGAGTAAAGAAACTGGAAGGACCCACCGGAAGAAATGCCCGCAGAGCAAGTGCAAAGAAGACGAACTCTACGACAATGGAGGACGTCGAGCCAGCAATTCATCCATCACAGTCTAGCAGTGATGACGGGTATACTATTTCTTCAGTCTATCCACGCTGCTCAGCATTTGAAATATCTACGACAGACTTATGGCAACAATAGCTCAGCAAATGCAAGGTTAAAGCGCTTGTTGCCACACAATACCGCTGTGCTAATGCACTCATCCTCAGCGTCTATGGAGAAAAAGAAGAAAGAAAGAGAAGCCAAATTGCTTCAGATGGCCCAGACTGAGCTTAGTAAAGTCGTACGTGCGGGAAGTAGTACACTTCAGAAAAACGCTGAGGTATTATGTGCTAGTTTGCAGAGAAGGCACACGACTTTGCGGACGGCGTAAAAGATATGTGCGTTGCTCTCTGTGCCAGCTTCGCTAGTATACATGACTTTACTCGATCTGACTGCGCAATTGTGCCTCAGAGAAAAGATCTATACCAATTTTAAAGACACTTACGCTACCAACGAGGACCATATACGAAGACTTTGGGAAGCAATCTTGAATGAACAGGCGAAATTTCAGGCTTGCTGTTTATCTTTGTGATGCGTTCTGCCATCTAATCATTACTTGTTGCAGAGTTTCATAGAGGAAAAGCAGGAATTGACTTCGGAGCGCGAAAGGCATCGTGAAACGGAACACATTCAAGCTCTAGCGCATTGTCGAAAGGCGTGTGAAGGTAATAATGTTCCAATATCTGATACAAAGATCGTTCACAACCGTTTTAAGAGTCTCAGCGTCTCGTACAATCCCTCGGTTCAAGCTAGTGGCCCACTTCGTCTTATTCTGACGACAACCACGAAAGGAGAACTGCCTTCCAAGTCGTTGATATTTTCTCGCTCTATATCTGCCGTTCTTGTTGACTGTAGCTTTGTCTTTCTTCTTTTAATCTTCATTGCTTGCCGATCAAGATGCGGCCTCAATCTACTTAAGTCAGCTATATCTGAACGCTATGATACCCTTTGCTCAGCTCATGCCGCTGGAGACTCTGATTCCGAGATTCGCTGTGTATAGCTCGCGTAAATCTTTTTACATTGGGTCGTCCGGTCCACTGGTGGTCAGAGGCCTATTCAACCACTCGAATTCATTATTATCGAATCCTTTCATGCTACTTGCGATTAGAGAACGCCACAGCGTCTAGAGCACGGCAACTAGTATATCATCAACATCACTCTCGGCGAAATTTTTAAGCGTCAATACTATACCCAAGGTTCCTGTGCCAGTCGTGAATCGGTATATGCGCAACCATCGTCAAATCAAGTGTCTGTATCCTCGGGAGCAGTATGTCGTCTGAGTTTCGTAAAGCGATGAAGTATACTGCACAGCGTCTTGGAGTAGACCCGATAACAGGTTCCGATGATACTGGGAGGATGTAACGCTAGGTGATAATGTGATGCTTGATCAACTTTCAGATTTCGTCGGAAATTTTATATTGTCAAAATGATGTTCTCTTTGTTAAGCCATCTGCACGTTCAGGAGGTACTCTCGGCAGATTTACATGGGACAAAGCCTTGATAAAATTGGGATTAAAAGGGGAAATTTTGGTCATCAACAGAATCAATCATGTAGACGATGGGACGATCGAGGTCTGGCCTCCAACGAAACCAGACCTGTGATTGATGGTACGGTGTTGATCTCCGTTTTCAATGAATTGCCGGTCGGCATCCCTCCCATCATCTCATCTCCGTCTCTATCTGCAGCAAGCTACATCGTCAAGAGAATTGTTTAACTTCCCATCGGAAGAGATGCGTGAACAGCAGTGAACCATCAGATTCGGACTTTGTATCTGTCCATTTCCAGGGTCTGAGCACCTGCAACGACTCGAAAAGCAAGCAATATTATACTGCGGCAGTAAACCGATCTCAAAGCCAAGAAGAAAAGTATTGCATTTCTTACAGTTTTTTCGCCTATACAAGCTCATTTCTCCCATCTATGTGGATATCTGGATATCTAATGCAGGTATCAAAATGGGTATGTTTCCTCATCTGAGTATCCACCCGACCGTTGCATCATTTATTCTTCATCTCTATCAATTCCTATCATGAACCGGGTGTTATTAGGAAGAAATGGTACATACATGGGAAGTGAGTGTGCAGAATGGGCCTTGTGGTTGATCCCTCCAACGTCTGGCACACATCACTTGACTTCGTTCGACCGTGACCGCGCTGTAGAACAGCGGGTTCTAAATTAAAAATACGACAAAACAATGGCAGTTAATACTACGACTCCGTTTGATACGCCGTCTTTGTCTGCATTACTTGAAACATTCCAACAGGTTGCACACGATGAGCAGCCAGTAAAAGTATGGGGTTGTTCCTTATACAGTGTGCACGATCTTACTTCCTTTTCAGTACATTACAGGTGCATAATCTGTTTTAATCGTCCGAAATATTGGGCCCTGATGAGTTGTGACCGCAGTCTCTGCATTCGTGATTATGCTATACGATAATCTCATAACACTTCCAGAGTAAGTCCGTCTCTCACTCTCACATCATTTGACATCATAAAATCTACGATACTACAGAGAGGCACATCTGTGTAAACACCGAATTGATGAAAACGGACGCTAATAATTGCC